ATTAAATATTATAACTACATATTTTAGAATTCTTTATTAAATATTTTAAAGTTTTAGATTTTAGTCCATAGTTTATTGATATTCTTAGATATATATATATATAAGCTTAATAAAATTTATTAAAATATTCAAGAGAATCTTATCTATTAAAATCTTATATATTATTTAAATTGATGTAATTCTATAATTAATATAATAAAAGTTTTGAAGAAAAATATAAAATCAAAAAAGAATTATTATTTTTATTATTATTATGTAATTTTGATACTTATCATAATCACATCTTTAAACTCTTTTTAAATTTTTTGTATTAATTTTAAAAAAACTATATTTATTTTGGTACTTTAATAAATAAATAAATAAAATTTTTATTTTTAAGTAATACATATATATATATATATATATATTATTTATATTTATATTTATATATTAATAATTAATTTAAATAAAGAAGAAATAAAATATTGTTATTAAAATTATATTTAACATTATAGAATAGAACTTAATTGTTAATTATATAATTTTAGCTTCTATAATATATTTTGTTATTATATAGAATAGCACTTTTAAGGACCTAAAGGACTTTTTTTGATCATTAATAAAGTTCATATATGTTAAAAAAAGAAGCAACACAAACATTTAAAATTTTGGGATCTTAATGTTTTACTAATTGATGATTTTCCAAAAAAAACCTTCACCAATTTTACTTAGAATTGGTTTTAAATGCACTAATAAATAGTTAGATGTTAAAAAATATATTAAAAAGTTAATTCCAAGTGCTAAATGTATCTAATATTGAATTCAACTAGCACAACAATTAAAAATTTATATAAGATAGAATCTATATATTTAAAAATTAATAAAATATTTTTAAGACATGTGATTATATTTAATGTATTAAAATTTATTTGCAAAAAATAGTGAAATGATGTCAAAAATCTCAAGAATAATCTCTTAGATAATCATGATTTATTTCAAATCATCTATTGAGATATAAATTTGACTTCAATTTTATTAAAACAACTATCTTAAAATCAACTAGTTAAACTTGTGTTGTTGTCATCAAAAATTGAATCTTCAGTATGTTGTAACCTATATGACTATTTATTATTAATAAAAGTCATTTACTAGATTGAGGAATATTGTTTCAAATTGAACTTACATGATTGGGAGTGAATTACAATTGTTAGCTTCTTAAGTAGTTCTATCTCCTCCCTCTCTGATTAAGCTTCTCCACTATCAGCCATGTGTAAGTGGATGGATGGATTGGCATTTTGTGCAGCAAAGTTTGAGAGGAGAAAGATGTTCATAGGATGAACAATAATGAAGTGGAACTGTTTTGGCATTTTTTAGTCTCTAGAATTTGATTGCCTTTTCTCTTCTTTGCATCCATGTAGACTCTTGACTTCTTAACTCCAATTAGCAACTTCCATGCCCACCTGCTGCATCTCATCTTGGGCCTCTTCTCATTCCACCTCTTCTCATTCAGCAACATTGCCTCTATTTCTATCTTTTGTTTTGTGATCTCGACAGCCTTTGCTTTAGCATGTAAGCATGTTTTATCTACACTACATATGTTTCCATATTTAGCTACTACCCATCACCACCTAACTTACTCACCAACTTAAACTTAGAACTTTAAGTCGAGACTTTGCTTCACTATGTGCTATAGGATTGATGTTTTCTAAATAATTGCACATCAAATATTTGAATCAAACAAAAAAAAACATCTAGGAGTACTTAGGGGGATTTAAATACTCCTTAATATTGCATGAATCATAATCTAAGTATATGTAGAGAAAATAATCCACCTAAAACACACAAACCAATGAAACAACATACACTGTTATTGGAAATTGTATTTGTAATTGAATACAAATACAACTGCAAATCTTCAAAGTATATAGTGTTTTCAAATGTATACAATGTTTTACATGTATCAATGGAGAAAATGCATTTTTCACATGAATGTAGTTGAACAAAATGGGGTCTTTGGCATGCTTAAGTTCTTGCTTGGCCCCTCTCAAATGATTTTAAATTTATTCCTTTGTTTCTATGCCTATGAAATTCCATGCACAAACTATACCAACATATGATCAACCACAGCTAAAGGAATAAAATAATAATAATAATAATAATCACTACCAAGTACAACTCCAAATGAAATGAGCATTGGTAATTATATTTCTTGAAGATGCCTCTTGAATACTTCTTCATGAGCTAGAGGCTTGATAAAAATATATGTTGCCTTCAAAGCTTTCTTTGTCATTGCTTGAGCCCTTGGACATCAATATCTATAATAAAAATCTGTTGTACCACGATCAAAATACATCAGTTCTCAGGAAAGTAAAAAAAATATGAATCTATTAATTTGATGTTTGTAATTGCAAGTATGGAATCAATGATTGAAGGATGTTTGTATCTTGTTGGCATATACTACAACTTCTATTATAGCCCAGCTTCAACTATTACCAAATAAACCAAATTGAAACCTTATTTGTTGCATACTATATACAAATATGATTGTAGGAGGAATGACATTTTCAAAAGCATTTAAAAAACTCAAATGCTGTACTTTGGTAATTTTAGGCAAAAACTCTCCATTCTACCACAAAGTTGTGCATATAAGCACTACAATGAATTTTAATACATGTAACCTCTTCATAGAGACCTTTGAGAAGTCATTAAGATGAAAAGTCATTAAGATGAGAAGCCTATCCCCCCATGTAACTCCCCTACAATGGACTAGAGACCAAGTTACAATTGAGCAAAGTTTATAATATGCTTATAGTTGTAGCAACAAAATATTATCATGCATTTCAATATGGTCTTTTAATACAATCAATGTTAACAAGCCCTGTAAATTCCAATTTTGGTTTTTTTTTTTTTTTTTTTTTTTTTTTTATGAAAACAATGAAGCATGCAAACAATTACTAGACTACTTTATCTCCCGAGTTTGTCATGTATATTTGTCCCCCCTTAAGCTGTTTTATATAAGAGATAATATTGGGCTATATAAAATAGGCATCAATCATATTAAAGATATGATAAATGAAAACTTAGCACTTTCTAAGATGAAAAACCAAAATTGTTTAATTTTATAACCTTTCTACTAATTCCTCAAATTATAACTTTATCACACAAGATTTTTGATATTATCTAGAATTTTTTAGACAAGAGGTATAAATATTCAATCTAAAAAAATCATGTTAAAATCTCCAACCAAAATAATTAAAAATATTTATATTTTTTCTTTCTATTTTTTAAAGCAAGATAGAAACACAAACATTTTATTTTAATATATAACAAACTTCAAAGCATCTATATAGTTAATTAAATAACATGTATTAGAGAGGAAAAAAAATTAAAACATTAAATCAATTTTAAACCATTATCATCAAAAATTACTTTCTAAAATACATCTTGTGAAGCAAAATCATCAAATAATAAAATCTCCAATGGCTACTATTTTTCCCATTTACCTTCGTTGTCAATATCTAATCAATATTTCTACATTCCAAAGACTTTGGAATGTAGAAATATATTTAACAATTAACCATGCTATCAACCAAAAAAAACACTTTACAACATCACTCAATAATAAATTCAACAAAATCCTTCACAATATCCATAGCTCACTTAAGACTTTTAACAAGCAACTTTTTAAAAAATTAAACCGATCACTTATACAGGAGTTTTGTAACCCCTAATTGTAAATATCTACTTTTGAAGACAAATTGAAAGCAAATAAATAAATAAATAAATAAAATGATGACTTTAGACCAAAAAAAACACACATTTCAAAATAGAAAAGTATTATTTAAGATTACATAATAATAATAATAATAATAATATAACATAGAAGACACCCTCAAAGTGATCACATTGAACAAAAGTAACTTCCAGAGTTTACAAATAGATTTGAAACAACAAACGAGATAGCTAGATGTACATTCATAAGAAATACGTCAAAAACATACATTTCCCATCTAAATATAGATCCTTGAAATAAATGCTACAGCATGTACCCATACTTTTTCTATAATTCAATAACACCTTTGAATAGGGGTTAACTCTTAGTTCCCGGAAAAAACAAAAAATAAATAAAAATAAACATACAAAAAAATAAACGAGCCAGCCACACGCATGCTTCAGTAGTTGGCATGAAAAGAGATCCAAGGATCCTAAAGAATCAGATGTGCACAAGGCACCTACTTGCTCATGAATTTCAACTCTTATTGAATTTTCCACTGTTAAGCATCGAGTTTCAGAGAAAAACTAAATTGCATCACCAGGACGAGAGATGGTAAGGTGTGCCTTACGATACTCACCACCAGGAGACAAGATCGACCAAGTAGTCTGCATTCGTGGATATCGGGTCCGATCGAAACCATCCTCCAATCACTCTACTACAAACGATAAACTTGCATCGGGACACCTCGAATATGTCCCGATGTACACGTGTGTACATCTCGAATGCAAAAGTACTCCCTCTTTTTGCAGTACACTTGGGACATATTCAACTCCTGCAAGATCTTTCTCCGATTAAATCCTCATGAAAGAGAGAGAAGATAAAAACTAAAGTTGGACATGATCTAGATTAACTGCTACAGAAGAGATTCTCTTATCCCATCACATCATACAATCCATGACTCACCTGCGATTAATTACTGCAAACGCTGTTGCAGACCCTTCCTGAGATAGATAGTTGGACTCTCTCACGTGCCTAAATCGACAGAAGATAATTGTGAAAAAAATACGATGCAACATGACCCGAGAACTGACTAATTGTCCTTTGTAGCACCCCAAAAAAATTACGTATCCCTTCGAAAGTCACAGGTACCAACAAATTACAAACTTCTGAACAGCAAGAACTAGTTCTACTTAGATCAACAATTGATAGAATCAGACCACAATGATACAACTGATCCTTTGCACTTTCTCAAACCTTTCCTCACAGCTCCACATATTCATGTCACTATGCGAGGACAACAAAGCTGTAATATACTATTCAATTGCTGTCAGAACAAAGACAACAAGGTTCATTTCTTTTTTTCCAAAGATTGTACAGTTCCCGCACTGGGTCAGCAGCATGTTGAAAAAAATGCTGACAAATTCCTCACTGCTTGATCCCCTAACTGACGCTGTGCTGACTGGAGCTCAAAAAGCCCTCCGATTTTTCCGCAGACAGCATCTAAAATGAGCAGCTAGGGTAGAACTGTCAAAACCAGAAGTGCATCCACGACTAACTTCCTCTTCTTTTCCTTATGCTAACTCAATCGTCACGTAAAACTGACCGTTCCCCATAAGCTCTCTACACCTAAAGGACTATGGGTTTCTGGGTTACTCCCTAATCTTCATCTACAAGGAGAGTCGAATGCCTTTACACAGATTTACAACTTTCACCCAGGAGCTCCCATCATCAGTTGCTGCATCTGCATGATCAATAGTGCATATCACGGCCATCAATCCTTAACTAAAAATATGCAGGACACCTAAAAGAAACAAAGAAAAAGAAGACAGCAGCAATAGCAAAACAACAACAACAAGAAGCAAAGCCAGAACTAATTGCGAAGAAAGAAAACAAACCTTGTCATTTCAAAGATGCAGAAACAGAAGCCTGTAATACTAATAATGTTGAACCTGGTAGTTGCCAGGATTCATCATCTGCAAACCAATCCATTCCAGGAGAAGTAGCAATAGTCAAGTGCATGATTCAATATACGAAACTAACGCTGTCACAGCTTGATCAGCTTTTACTTTTGCCAACAAAATTAGTTTAAGTGCCAAATTAACACTTAACAATAATGAAACATGAAATTCGTACACATACAGCAATGCACAGCTGTTCACAATGAACACATCTTGCATTGTAGACTGAACTTCATAACAAAATTCACGTAAAACACACAATCATAAACACAAGAAACGAAAAAAATGCAAGAATAAACGAGGGTAAAACCAAACAAACCTGCGCTTGCATGTAAGGGTTATAGCCTCCTTGCTGCACCATCTAACAATCGAGAACGACAGTTAGCAAGAATCACACAAGCTCTTCCACACAACGAGGTGCAATAGCACTTGGCCAATTGTAGAAAACGTAAAGACTTTCAAATCATTGCAAAAATCTAACTGATTATTAATGCTCTGAACCTTTCTGGGCTATGCACTCGCTGATTAGCTGAATGTTATTCACTTTGCTCAAAAGTCCATTACTGTAGATCCACAAAATGAAAGGGTAGACTCGACCATCCTTTCAAGTACACAATCTGGCATTCCTGATTGTACGTCAACAATACTAAAAGGAGTGATTGATGTATGAGCCGAACAGCACCTTCACCAGTCCTTCAGAGAAAAAGTCTTGGCACAGAACATGCAGGGCCTTCAAAATCTAAGACTCGATCTAAAATCAAGTAAGAGCAGCATTACAAGCCCACCTGAACGCCAGGAGATACCATGCCACTTCCCTCCTTCTTGCCAGAAGATGATTCACCAGCCTTGTTCGTCAGAGCACCCTACACCACCAACGAAGGTATAAAGAAATGCTGAACGTATGAAATTGTGAAAGCATCTATACTTATAGTTCAGTAAAATAAAATGATAAATGATAAAACTGTTTGAACTCTGTCACAGCATAGAGATATGGAATGCAATATTAATTCCTTCAGCACAACCAAATAGTAGTAGAAATACCGCTGGATCATACCAGGGCAATTTACAGAACCATCAGCAAGATGACAAACTCCTGGCTGTGGTACAGTATTGCCTCTTACGACATAATTACTACAGTTCACTTCATTTTAGTTCATTGTTCAGAACACATTAATCAAAATATGGCTCTAAAAATGCAGAACAACAAAATACCATCAACACAGCCACAGTACTCCCACATGGAACATAGTGATAATAGTGAAGGTCTAGCATACCTCAGTCTGGAAGCCAACCGAGTCGATTTACCACACATGCCAATGAAAATGAATTAGTCCTTGAATTCATGCTGCAGCGATGATCTAAAAAATGCTCTGAGCAATCAACCATAAGCAAAATACTAGTGCTCTTTCACTGCAAAAATCCTGACCTACTCATTACCTTGAAAGCAGCATACAAGTTAGGGTTGGACAAGTGTTGTGGAATAATTAAACACATACCACATATTAAGAGACTCCTGCATGCATGTAAGGGAGCTTCGGGAGCAGACCAAAATAAAGGTAACCAAACTGTAGGAGAAAGATAGAGCAGTCAAGCAGGTCTTGAGAAAGGAGCGAACAGATAACAGCGAAAGTACCTCTCTGTACTTGTGAAGGTAAACCTTCAGCGGCTCGACGTAGTCTTCAAACCCTAATGTGCTCATGGCCCAAAGTAAATCATCTCCATTGATCGTCTTTCTCTTTTCCCGCTGACACTTGTCGCTAGCTCTGTAATAGGTCAAGGAAAACGGCAGACAATGCGGTGCAGGGAGGACAAACAAAAATAACGCCAAGTTTTACATTGTACACATGATCAAAGAAACCATCAAACCAAAATAGACTCCACTATGAAACGAAGAGACACAAAGACAATCACCGTTTCTTCAGCAGACACAATCATATTATGACAACCCGCACAATGATGATCTAAGGCACTGTGATGTTATGAGAAAAGCCAGTCACACGAACCAGACAACTTGCATGTTGCGGAGCAGAAAGTATCGACTCACAAGAATTTGTTCCGGACTGCAGACATGTAACTGAAAAGCGGCTAAAAGCTGAAACTGGAACAGAATTGGGGGATCTAAGCAAAGAAACATAGCTGTTGTGCATGTTACGAACTGTTGAATTCGGTAGAAATCATTAACGGCAAGTTTCCTCAGCTAAGAATGCAAGGTACAACACAAGCAGGAAGTAAGACGAAAGGACATCGAAACCAGGAACAATTGAGTGAACCTAACTCCATAAGAAAGTTACGGGAGGTAATAGAACTGCTTCAGTAACTTAACGCCAACGTTATTACGGTCCAACGGCCACATTAGCGGACGTAAAGAAACAGTAAGACAAGGGCAACATGCGACATATGACACCGAAAAACCATATCAAATGGATACTCGCTCGTGATGAAACTGATGAATTCGGAAACACACTCTTGAACTGTCTCCTTCGCATCTTTGGCAATCTTGGCATTAGCAGGCAACGCCTTCTTCATGATGCGGCTAATATTAGCGATTGGCAGGAAACGATCCTGCTCGCGAACGCTGGAGTTATCCCTCTCACCACTCCCATGGTTACCCCCGTAATCATCCGAGTGTGGACTGTCTTGACTGCCAGGACTTCCAGCCTCAGCCATTGAACTTATATTCCTACACCACCATGTCAAGGTGAGCCTCACGTCAAACAACAACACATTCTCAACCGCTTACTCACATTCATTTATACTCTCAGTGCTACCAACTCCGTAAAAAAGGAACACTCCATCCTCACATTTCATCACTTTCGTATGACCTGCTCCTCAGCATCACAACCGCCAACATTAAGCTCCCAACAACCCTCCCACACTAAAGCACAACCCCATCGACGCTCATTCATACACACTTCAAGAACGTCTCTCTCATTGACCAATAAAGAAATGTAATGAATCACTCGGCCGCCAACTCAACCCTCAGGCAAAACACTTCGCCCGCCTCTGGAACTCGTAAACGCAGCTAAACAAACCTCACATGCCGTGTCAAGTCACAAAAAGTTCACCTACGAGAGGCTTTTGACGGTATCGCTGCTGCTGCTGGTGCTAGACTTGGTATCAAATACAGGCGATAAGCGGTCGGACTGCTCTACGAAACATACAAACTCACCTAAAGGGAAGGCCTAGACGAATGCCGTGGGTTGGAGAGAGGAGCCTGCCCAGCAAAGCGAGACGCCGATGAAGTAAAAGGGTAAGTATTCCCAGGAGGCAATGAAGAAGGGAGGGAGGGAGGGAGGGAAGGGAGAGGGGGTCCGGTGTGGCGGAGGGAAGGGGAGGTCGAAGGGGAAGGAGAAGGGGACAACAACGTCTGCAGCGTATGTATGAGCTGCAGGAAGAGAGGGAGGAGGGTGAGATCGGTGCGAGGGAGGGAGGCAAGGGTAGCACGGAGGCAAAGCGGGCAACAGGAGGGAGAGAGGGAGGCTGGTTTGGCAGAGGGACGACGCTGTGCGCTTTCCCCATTGGCACATAGCCGCCCTTTACCACTTGTCTCTCTCCTCAACTCCCTCCTCCTCTGGCTCTCACCCAAGGCTTTCCCGACCTCCCTACAGTCACCGTCGACGTGTTCTGGCGGCTGCGTCCGTTCCACGTTGGGTAGAGACCGACGACGGACGACGCTTATGAGCAGTTCACCGCCTGTGCCGTCCACTTCCCTGCCACGACCTGAACGCGCGTTCCGTTCCTCGCATTGTTAAGTTTCTCTGGGGCCCACGCCTTCGTCCGCCTCCCCCGTCCTCTGAGGGAGCTCACTACTCGTATAATTTTTTTAATTTTAATTTAATTATGTAACTTTACTACCCTGGGGCAAATTGCCCCATCTTAGTAGAATGGCGTACCATGCTGCTCCTTGCGCTTCATGGGTTTCGTCATCTTGCTTTCTCTGGAGAAATTGCAGGTTCTTCACCAGTCCTACAAAATTCCAACATGGATGATGAAGCCCAAACCACGTTTATTCATTATGTGGATGGATGACATGGTTCATTCGTCCTTCCGAATTCACACCAGGGGACTTCTTTCCTCTCTCTCACTCCTGTCCTCCTCCTCCTCCAGGTCAGGTTTTCGTGTCCGCTCTTTTCTACCTTGTATAGACTCGTTAATGAATTTCCATGTCGATGATAAAGGACTCTTTCGATGTAGTTCGTGGATGAATTTTTCTTCATCCGTATACGATTCATCCCGTACATTCATCTCGTATATTCATCCAATTCTCAACGCACAATTTTCTCATCCCAGTACACAAGGCAGTGTCTTTTTACTTTTGAAATTTGCGTCCTTTTTTTCTTTTCTCCACATATTTATTTATTTATTTATTTGTTTTCATTCTTACTTGTACTTCTTCCCTTTCAATCAGTAAAAAATAAAATCCCCTGCACTGGAAATACTGTTTTACAAAAGGGAGAGCTTCCGAAGTGGAAAATGTTTAGTGCATTTATTATGTGTTGTTGTTGGTTTATTTGTTTATTTATGTGTTGTTGTAGGATTTATTTATTTGTTTATTTTTAGGTTGATTCATGGAACACGGCTATTGAAAACAAGTATTAGCAAAGAGGATTAGAATATACAAATCCATCAAAAGTAATAAAAAAATTATTTTAATTTCCAGGTTGTAAGATAAACTTGAATATTGATGCAGGTTTTTTTTATATTTTTTTAATCCAAAGGAAGGAAAATTAAAATAAAAAATAAATAAAAAATCAGAACTTGGCTTAAATTTAATAAGTAACTCCATGCACGTGTTGATTTCTGTTCATTTGTAAATACTATGTTCTCATTTCAAGAATGTTTTTGTTGTTGACAGTGTTGACATCAGCACTCAAGTAAAGACAATTTGATTCACATTTTTTAAAAAATACATATATTATCTTTTGTGCATAACTCTTGTATATTAATTTTTCAAAAAGAGAAACCTAGAATGTAGCGTGATTCTGCGTTTATGCTTGTCAGAGGGTGCAGTGCCCAAAATACAATAAGAAAAACACCAACATGCATATATTGTAAATGTTAATATCATTTGTGCTATTGTTAATTTCCACCAAATTTGAAGATGGGTACATGTCTAAGAAAAAAGACAATCAGGATACTACTAATACAAAATTCGAAATGTCCATTGTTGTCCTTTGTTGTCCAACACGAGCACTTGATGATAAGAACACATTCAGTGATGCTTGTGGCACAACTCTCTCTTAATGATAAATTTTATTTATTTTCCTTTTCCATAAAATAAGTATTAGTTGAAAGCTCCAGTTATTACCAACTGCACCCATTCAACTCCCAAAGTCGTGAAGACGTGCACACACCCCCCCCCCCTCCCCCAACAGTTAAACCCTAAAGTGGAGCAAACCGCTTGAAACGCCTGCAAAATGCTTCATCACCAGAATAGGGTTAAAAGGCTGCACTTTGACTGCAGGAAGACGTTGAGAATATCGAAAAGAGAAAAAGAAAACATCAGTGGGAAAATTAACTCTGATGAAGTGAGAAGAATTTACAAGCACGAAGAAGCTCATGGAAAAAATAGGCCGAAGTCGTTTACTAGCCACGTCATGAGATTACAGGCTTTAGAATCTCTCAATCAAACGTCAAGCGGTTCCCCCATTCCCTGAATCTTGTGCTGCACCCGCCAAGTCAGCCCTAAAATCATAACGTCGATCGCACACGCACAGCAATTGCGTGGATGAGAAGGAGGGAGCACAGTAGGTTTGCTGGCTGGCGAAGTATCCCGACGGAAGGGATAAGGGCCCCCCGAACCTGAGATTTCCAGTCCTTCGGGAATGGGGTTTCCTTAACCGCCTCAGACCGCCCGCAATCGCATCCACTTGCTCACCAAGTTGCCAGTTCTGTGCGTTCGCGGGTGGCTTGAGAATTGACTCCGTCGAGAGATCTCACGGAGGTTCCGCACCACGACGAACGGTTTATTCGTGAAGCGAGAGACAGAAACAGAGAGAGAGGGTTTTTCGTCACTGTGAGCTTCTTCACCACACTGCTTTCGCTCTCTCTATCTCTACTCCCCATCTGTGAGTGCAATTGGTCTCTAGTGGCAATTTTAGGCTTTCGTCCTACTCAGAGTTGTCTGCATTGATACTGGCGACCCGAGAACGCCCGCTCGATCCCCGAGTCCATGCGGCGGGCGGTGATGGGAAGAAGAAGAACAATAACAACAACAACAAAAACACGAGGAGGATGGATTCCACACCTTTTTCCTTTTTTCTATGTACGGAGGAGCCACGTGTGCAGAGTACAGTTCCGTGTGTAATCTGCGTCGAAGGATTTTCGCCTCCCCTCCCTTCTGGTTTTCGTGTGGAACGGACTCCCAAGGAGCGCTGATGACCAAAGGTTCGGCTGGTTCATGTATATGCGTGCTCACCACTTCTTCCACAAGTGGGGAGCTCCAGGCCCAAGCATCGCCACGTGTGTATTTATTAGCGTTAAAGTTAAGTTTGAAGTGTGAACTTAACAGCTGGGCGAACAATAAATAAGGTTGGAAAGGGAGTAATTATGGGAAGTATCTATGATCCCTCCCCCACCCAATACAACAGTTTATATATATATATATATATATATATATAAGAAATTGTTAAATGGATCAATATTGATTGAAAACCAATGAAAAAATGGTTGGGTCAATTTAACAATTCCTTTTATTTATATATATTTTATGTGTATTATGCATCATTCTGCTCGTCTTTGATGTGATGTGCTGATTGTGCACATCCCTATTTATTTGTTAATTTATTTGCATGTCCTTTTTTCATACAATTGTGTTAACTTCATTAAATGTTAAGCAATTTTTGTAAGTGCTAAGGAATTCATGACCTGTGTCAATTTCATAACTATACTGCAAGGAACATTGGATATGATGCAAAGAATACAAATATTCATTGAATTTCAAAGTTTAAGACATCTATTTATCGTGCAGAGGAACATTATGGCTTTTTGAGAGAGTTGTTAAGTTGAATAATATTCAACTATCCATTGTGAATTTGTGACAAAGCTTTTGGTGTTTTTATTGTCTTTTACATATTTACTACATAGTTCACTTAAGGTACTGTTAATAGTCGAGTTTACATAAAGTATTTTATATTTAAAAAATATAATAAAATATTCCTAAATATATATATATTCTAAATATTTCCAATATTTTATTATATTTAGGAAATATATATATTGGAAATCTTGTAATGCAAAAGAACACAAGAAGATAAAGTAACAAGTAAACATACTTTCAATTTTGGATTTATATTATTTTAATAGCATGCTTCTTAAAATAAAAAAATCGTTCATACTTTTAACAAAAAAGAAGAGTTCCACAACAAATGAAATTACGCATTAAATAAAATGAGTAATTTGGATACATGGACTAAAGTTATCAACCATCACATCCAATTTTTAAGGTAAGAAGTTCATTGATGGGTTAAACTGGATTATGATTGTTAGAGTAAATCAATATTATTAAAAAGCAATATAATTTTGCATATAATTCAAACTATTAAGATTAAAGAATTATAAATAGTATTAAAAATAAAACGATGCTTGAATGATTTATACAAATTTTTGAGATTGGTAATTTGTATAGATACAAATTTGCTTACATAAGATAAGTATCGTAACAATAAAAACACATGCTTATATATTTTATCAACAGTGTGCTATTGCAATTTGATGGTGGAAATGCGACTTTGTAAAAATCATTCTGAATTTCATTAAAATTTTAATACTGCCTAGTAATATACATACATACATACACATATACATACATATGCATGCAAGATTCAAGGTACCAAACAAAATAAATAAATAAATACTGAATATAACAACATTTAAAACTATCTAGTAATCTGGTTTTAAAATAAATGACTTGTTGCAATTTGATTATTTAATATGCATATTTATATATACATTCATTCCTTTTATTTTCTTTATGTAGCATGTGAGAAAATTGTATAATATACATGCATACATAAACATACATAAAAGAAGGCTAGAAAGATCTACGACTTTTGTGTGCCCAATGGCATACTATTGTACTTGAGTATGTGTATATATACGCACACACACACAAATAATTAAATAAATAATTAAATCTATTCAAATTCATTTGAAAAAAATAATAATTTGATTTCTTCATGATTTCTTGTGAGGCTGGCCTTGGAGACTAGCAGCAACGGGGGGAAATCTTCGTCTCGCATGTTGAACTTGTCTGGTTGTTGCTGAGCAGCAGCAGCTGCGTTTTTTAAGCTAGCGATTGGCTTTCTTGAACCACATGAGCGGACAATCACAATGTCGAGACCCACTTGAATTAAACAAACAGAGGAGAACGAGGAGGACGAGGAGATTTACACATCCACAGTCAGTTGTGAGGCAAGTTTTGGTTATGACCACTACTTACGGCGACTGACCGACACCATCGTCAATGTCTAGGAACCGCAACATGAATCCAGGGTGAAAGCTTGACCACAAATTCCTGCACCTTGCGGACTATGATCCCAATGCCTTGCGACAACGTAACTTTCAGGAAGAAGCCGATGGATATGAAGACCAAAACTTACT